GGTTACTTATAAATATTTTTTCTTAAACTACACTTAGTATCGCGAGAGATCTAATATACAATAAGTCGACATTGTTCGTTTAGTTATCTGATTATAATTTTTCTAAATAAGATGACTAATTCGTCTAGTGACTAATAATGCGTCTTTTGTCTTTTGAATTAATTATACATAAATTAACGTTTGCCCAAAATTTTCAAAAGCTTCAATTAATTCGACTAAATTCGAGAAAACGAGAAAACTGCATTTTCATCACGATATCGCACCTGTGAATCGAGCACGTAATATTGTCGATTTTTTAAATAACAGTGATGTTAAAGATCTTGAACAACCTGTGCACAGGTTGTTAAAAGGAGGAGGTTTCAAACAGATACTGAGCTTTTGGCTGCTTGGGATCAGGCCTCTTCAGAATCGTCAGAAGAAAAGTGGAAGAATATTTTTAATAATTGTATTTTACGCATGACTAAGTGTATAAACTATGATAGAAATTATTTTTAAAAAATTGTAAAAATAAAAATTGTATGGCAAAACTTATCTAGTGATCTTTGTAATAAATATTGTAAAGTCCTTCGGTGCCATTTATCTATATCTTTCAAATTATTGTATAATTTTGTGGATAGTTACTGTAACAACTATATAACAACTATTGAGACATTTATTTAAAACCTTAGTCTCTCTCGTGACCATGTTTGCTGTAAAGTCGGAATTCAAAACTTCGGAAACCAAAATATAAAATAAAACCGCGACAAAATCCGGAAGGATAGTTATTAGTTACATATAAATTTCAAATATTCGCGTAAATCTAAGAAAAGTATTATTTCTTTTTATCTTATAATTACTTCATATTTTATTTAGCGATCGTATTCTAGTGATGATATCGCCCCCCCACAGGTTCACCTCACATACATGATAAGCTCCGGGTCAAATATACGCACATTAATTATCCTACAAAATCGAGTATATTTCCATCTCTTATATACAAATATAAACCATCTTTTATGTAACAGCACATTAAATAGTTATTATAAATAGGTTATAGGAATTTTGTTATTAGCGTCCGGCAGTACAGCCGGGCGTGAAGCTCAGAGATACTTCTCTAATAGAAGAGTGGACCATGGGAGCAAGCCTCTTGGTTATAGGGCGTAGTTGAGTGCGTAAGTGATCCTGCGGATGCCCCATAAAGACGGAGGTGGCTCCGTTGTGTTTTAGTGGGTAGTATGGCTTTTCTGGCCGGTGGGCAGTGAGCCCCATATAACGCGTATATTCATCCCCAACGTTAAAAATATTTAAAAACTGCCACTGGATTATCTAAATGAAATTATTAGAATTGGACTAAAAATGCTATAAGTGTATGCACCTAATTAATTTCCTTATACAAATATTTCTTATCTGTGATTTATATACGAGAATTCTTCTATGTTGTGGTACGCGTGGTAGCCTTTACATCAGATCTTTAGACAATACATATACATATTTAAATAAAATAAATCTTAAGTGATTTTCTATAATTTATATATACTTATTTATAGACTATTTCATTTTAGCACTTGAACTTTTAATTAAAACACGTGTTGGATGTGATTTGTTTATTCGTATTCGATTATATAATATAATTTTCGATGTAATATCATTACTACTAAATGATTGTCGTTTCTACGCATACAGGGTGGCGCGAACGGTCTAATTTTTGATGACTCAACTTTTAAATCTGAATCGGGTTTCGGAGCGGCTTATTCGTTTACATATCAATCATTTGCAGCTTATTCGCATTTATCGGAGCCTTTGATTTATCGGAGCTTCACTAGAAAAACCCTAGCTGCGTTAAACTAAATATTTAATATGTAATTATATGATTATGGCGGGGAGAAGAGTTACCAAAGATATAATATACTCTGCATACCATATATCTTTAGAGATATTATATAGGGGAGTGATTTAATTTTTAACCGAATCAGATTTCACTTTGTTTACCAAACTGCGAATGAAATAATTAAACTAACCGGGACTATTTTTTGCATCATAAAAATCATGGCCCCTAAATATGATAGCTAACTTCAACAGCCTTGTCTTTATACATTTTTAAAGTTCAAATGTCTATCGGAAATCCCTTCTATTTGCTATTCCTAATCTCTTATCAATATGTCTGAGCTTATCTGCTCCTTGATCTTATAAAAACGCCCATATTGTTAGTGTTAATGTTAAATGTTTGATAGTCACCACACTCAATTTTAGCTGGTGTAGTAAAAAAAAATTTGATAATAATTAGTAAAATATTCCAAAGTAGAATCTGTTTCTGTGAGAATCCTCCGTTCAAACATGATAAACTTCCATTATCATTATCACGCAGTCTTTATTTAAATATAAATGCTCTCTATTGGTTGCCATGCTGGAAACGTGGGTGTGTCTTGATAATCATTTACTTACTGTGTGATTGGCTCAGAAAGTTTACATTTAAGAAATGACTGACGTCAACTTATTCAAAAACATATTTGTTTTGAGCAATGTCTCCGTTGCATGTTTTTAACAGAATATCTTAGTTTTCCGTTATTTATCTTGTTTCTAATTAAAAATCGTATGTTATTCATAATATATTGTTATTCTTAACTACGTTTTACTTTACGTAACATTTGAACTTGCAGTCTTCAAATAAACTTATTACTTAATTGATTGGAATTTTAATTTGATGATTTAGTTACAGGTTGAAGTTATAGTTCATTTCATTAGTACGTAAATTAATATTAGCAAATTGTTAACTCTTATCTGTATTTGCAAAACTTTGCATAGATTTTATGCACTACATGCATACACAAAGATTCGAAAAAACGTTAGTTAAAAAGTAAAAGTTATAATTACGGTCTCGTATTACTACAACAAATCTAACATAATTAAAAATGGGCTGTCTTTATTAGATAGACTTTATAATGCATCTTGAAAATATGTCTAAATTCAAAGTCAGCAGCGAAAAGTTCGAAATACTTGGAAATTGACGAAGACAAACAATTTGGCGTCGTGAAATCGCGAACCCTTATGATAACAAATACCTGCTTCCTACTGTGAAACGTGGTATAAAACGGGGTAGATCGTGTTATTATGAACAGTGACGTTTTTTTAACATGTATGAGTGTACTTCAACTTTTGGAGGCCGCTGTATGCTTGCATGATGCATTTCATTAAAGAGAACAATTTAAATATTAACTGCATCGTTACATGTAAATGAAGACTTGAAAATAAATGAAAATATAAGCAATAAATTATTACATTTTTTAATTGTACGTCATACTATACTTTCGGAAAAATCTAATCAATCATAAAAAACTTTCACTTTGTCAGCATTGGATGAATCATAAGCATGTAATGTTACATGCTTTATTAAATAAAATATTAGAAAAAATAATAATCTGTGCATACAAATGTTATTGACATATTGTTCTAATATATTTTTTAATAAAATACGTCGTTGTGCTTATCGAACACTGAATGTAGTATCGCATAAGACATTATTGTTATATTATCAACTAGCGACTCTCCCTCGCTCCGCTCGGGTTCGTCCCTAGGTGATGACGTAACTTTTTATTTATGACCGATTGAAATAAAACAAATACTAATTGTTAAGTAAAGCTTACTACAATATATTATATTATATTCTGAGATTAGCGCGCACAAACGCACAGACAAACAAACATTCTAAAAATTGTTTTGGGTTCTATTGCGTACATAAAGACACCAATGACAGTTTTTCTCAAATATCTTCCATGTACAGACACCGATCAGTTACACTTTTATTATAGGTATGTATAGATAAAATAATGTCACTTTGACCTGCCCTTACTGTGCCCGCAGATTTTCTTATATTCTACTCACTAGTGTCTTTCATTGATTAACTTAAAATTTAAAATTCATAGGCTCAGAAGTTAAATAGCGGAATCTTAATTTTTAAAGTGAGAAATATAAGGAAATGACGTTTAAGCTTTTTTATATTGCCTAAATGAAATCTCTCCACTTGGGTTCTCTACTTTGTCAGTTTGTCGTGTAAAAGGCAGTGATTGTAAATAACATTTTATTTTAAAATATAAGGCACAGACAGTTGTTGCGATTGGTGAGGAAGTATATGATGATAAAAATAAAAGGAAATGAACTAATGTCTATTCCTCAAACTTTTTTTTTCAAAAGCGAAAGAGGTTTGTCCGGACGGTATAAAATTCTTCGTTTGTCTCTCTAGGAAACAATTAAAAAAGTGAAGTGAAAATGGTGTAGGATATTTTCTAATAACTTAAAGCACAAAACGCATTTAATACTTTCAAAATCGAATATTTGATATTTTCCTGTTATACTATCATTGTTTGATATGATAACTAAAATGGAATTCACCCCACTCCACATTAGTCGTATTAAATTCATATAAATGTTTTTATAACATAAGTTATTGTCATGACATTATCAAATAAGATTTAAAGCATCGCGACATCTGGGCGTTTCTTTGACGTAATATCGTGTGACAGATACCGCTCCTATATATATTGACGTCTTCGGCCCCTCTTCGTATTTTGTACATCACTTATCTAAGCTCTTTACCTTGAAGCTTCTTCAATTTAATAACGCGAAATACACATTGTTCTCATTACAATTTGTATCTGTGTGAAGACACTAGTTCGCATTGATTTAATCATTAATTATTATTATTATTATATTTCCAAAATGTGTTGTTATAAAAATAACGGGATGTGCGATTTGTGTAGGGAATTTCAGTTTTCACTTTTGCAAAGTAAGCGTAATAATACTTTTATAAAAATAGTTTTCCTAAGTATTGTATGACAGTGAATATTGTGATTATTAGCAGTTATTTCTAAAAGGAAATGGCCTTGTAACAATTAGCGGTGACAATAGTTCTATTACAAAAAAAAAACAATAATTATTTATGGAAAGAAAAATTAAGGAGAATATTATATTCACTACATTTAAAAGAGGTTTCCTGTTGTTATTTATGGAATATATTTTATTAACAGATCTATTCAAGTCGTTTTCTGGCGCTGCACCGAAGATCGAATCGGGCAAGTTCCTGCAGGATGACTTATCAAACTCTCTTTACCCGCCATCTCCGCCCGAGACGAAGCCCAGCCCGGCTGAGCTTGCCAACGATATTCTGCAGCAGCTGGAAACGCAATGCAAAGAAGGTAAATAATTTATACTTCAATATAACAAATACGGAAATGATAAGCTTATTCAGCAGCGTCACTGGCATGCTCTTCTATAAATTTTATTCATAGTTATAATATTAAAAAAATCGTTAAAGCAATTACAAAAGAGAAGTGTTAAGTAGGAAATGTTTATAAAATCTTTGGATTGTTAAAATACTTATGTAAAAAAGTTAGGTTTTTTAATATAATTTTCATCATATATTATAGCGGCGTGTACGCAATACTGGTAGCTGATTTTACTATTTTTCTTTTACATATTTTTTGTAATACTTTTTGGAATACAATAGGTGAAAGGACGACAAAATTTTGTGTTATTGAATTGCTTTTTGTTTTACCACCCTTCTAATGGTTTACGGAAATCGCACTCTTTTGATATTTTATTTATTACTAAACGACACAATGTGACTTCCTATAAATGTTGTTTTAATTGTAACGTAAAAATATATGTACACGGTGTTACAGCCATATGTCCTATATAGGCATGCGGCCCTGCATTATTAATTGCAGAGGTCACGATTTTATCTAGCGGCTATAAACTAAATATCTAAACATAATATGAAGCAAAGTCGCTGTTTTTGTCTGTCTGTTTCTCCCCTAACTCCTTCTAAACCACGCAACGGATTTTAAAAATTCCAACAGGTACATGCTACTATAGTAGAGAAAACCCGAGAATTTTAAAGATTTATAATTATGTAAAACATATTTTTGGGCACTTACATTGGTAACGCTGGCTAAATCTGACGAGATAGATCAATATCTTAAGAAGATCTACAGAAAAGTCCGCGATGGTTTATGACTATTTGCGAAGGATAACCCACAGTAAACATTTTTATATTTTACACATTACTAAAAAATAATGGGTTTTTACGAAGCTATTTTAAATAATACAGTATTAATCCTTATCCAATTAAATACATTTAGATATGTTGTGCATTTAATGTAGATCAAAATTGGCATTTACAGTATATCATTAAAATGAATATCTTAGAAGATATCACGGATTTAAAAATATTAATTGCTCGCAGCGAAACGGCTAACATTTCGTCAAAACAATGTACTTTAAAATTTTAGGTTTTTAAAATCCTACAGAAAAATTCGCTACGGCATGTAATAGTAACTAGCTTATAAAGTAGACTCATAATAACTATTTTTATTTATTTAAAACGTACGTAGAGACGCACTCGAGGGAATTGGGGGTAAGTCGCTAGTATGATTAAAACGTAATAAACGTAAAATTTGTTAATGTTGTAACATTTTTTAGTATTATTGTTAAAACGAGGAACATAAAATTTATATTTAATTTAAAAATTGTTTATAATTCTACTTGTTTCATAAACGTATACATCTATATATATAATAGACATCCATGTAATTGGGAATATATTGTGTGTTATTTAAATAAAGGTGAAATATTTTTTTTATAATCTTTATTGCTTTTGAATTGAGCCTATATCAATATTTTTTATTGTAATCGCCTTTTGATTAAGAAAATAATTATTAAAAGTGCAAGTGTAGGTGGGAAATTCAATGTAGTTGAAAGGCACGCTTTTGGTCAGACCGAATATGAAGTTCAAATATTATAATAACAGAATGATTAGCGATTTTGTCGCTACTTGCTAATTGCTAATTGAGTCGTCATTTTTCTGTGTATATCATACTGTAACGTCACGTCAAGCGCGCGAAATCGAAATCGGGTGTTTAAAGTATCCGTATCGGTAGGATATATAATTTTTTTTTCAGCTGAATGTTATTTTTTTGGAAGTGGATATTTTGTACAATTTTAGAACGTTGCATTGTATAAAAAACACGCATATTCCCTATTTTGGTGGTTAGTTTATTGTAAAAAAATAGATTTTAAAAGTAAGCAGAAAGTATATTTGTTCGTCAACGTCTGGAAACGTATATATATATATATATATATATATTATGCATGTATGATACAGATGAATACATTTTTTTGTATAATCGCGTATGTTGATAATGAATACAAAATACCGATTTTCAAATATTGTCAGTTTAATTACAAATGATTTTAAAAAACAAATAAAATTATTTTATCTTTTATAAGGATGTTAAATGCGATTTTAATTTATCAAATATTTTCTACTTATTTAGCCTCCGGCTATGCTTGCGTAAAATATTATTTTCATTTTTTATCTTTAACGTTCTTCAAGAGTCTTGTTTTTTAACTTATAACCTAAATAACAACGGAATTGCACTATTGCCCCAAGCAGACGAATCAGGTTTAAAAAATTATCGTACATGTACATAAGTCCAGGACATAGTTTATTTGTGTTAAGTTTCATCCGAATCAGTTCGGCTTACGCGCGACCGAGTAATCCTAACATCTTCAAGAAGTTTTACAATTCTAAATTATAAAGATGATAATTATCTCTTATATACCCTATTCGACAAGGGGTTTAAAATTAATCCTCAAAATCTTATTATTTATTTATGTTATATGTCCGCGACTGAGCCGTCTTAGTTCATGTACTATGTAGTAAATATTTATTTATTACTAGCGACTCACCCTCGCTCCGCCCGATTTCGTCCCTCGTTACGTTTTACGTTTCGTATAGATTTGTCAGAGATGAGATATTTTCCCGCAGTAAAAAGTATCCTATATGTTGAACCGGATAGCCAGCTATCATCATACCAAATTTCATCAAGATCTATCCAGTAGATTTCTCGTGATGCTTTCCGAGACTGACAGACAGACAGACAAAAATTCTAAAACTGTGGATTCGGCGTCTGTATCGATAATAATGGCTATTTCAATAAGATTTTCCAATAAATATTTAATGTACAGATTCGCCTCAATTAGAATTTATTATATGTATCTATACTAATATTATAAAGAGGTAAAGTTTGTGATCTTGTGAGTTTGTGAGTTTGTGAGTTTGTGGGTTTGTGAGTTTGTGACGTTGTAGGGGGTAATCTCTGGATCTACTGAACTGATTTTCAAAATTCTTTTACCAATAGAAAGCCACGTTCTTTCTGAGTGTCATAGGCTATATATTAACCCGAAAAATATAAAGGCTTTTTCGTGGTAGTCGGATTTGCAAAGTAAGTCGGAGAAAAAACGGTCGAACGAAAACGTTTCTTACGAACGCTGCCTTAACGATGAGAGATATATGATTATGTTCTAGAGAAAAGTTGTAGAGCTTAATAATGCCTACAAAAAAGTCAGCGACAGTATATGTCTAACTTTTATATTTAAGTCACAAAAAGTAGTTTTTTATATTAAAAAAATCATCTAAATCGGTAGGTCATGTTTATTGGGCATATTATCAACAATTATGAATTCTTATCAAAATAAGTAAATTTATCGTCTAAAATGTTTAAAATAAAAGACTTTTCCCTTTTACTGCATATAATTTGGACAAATGGTTAAAGAGATAATACAACATATTCGTATGTATGGACGAACCCGAGCGAGCTGTTTATCTGTTTTTGTCTTTGTACGGGCTAATCTCCGGATCTATTAGACCTATTTAAATGAAATTTTGCATGGTGGTACCTTATATCCCCGGGCAACATCTTAGATACTTTTCATACCGGAAAATTAAAGAGTTCCTGTGGGATAGTTAAAAAACTATAACAACTTATACAGCTTAGTACACAAAAACTACTTATTGGATTTTGATGAAACTTTACAATAATATAGTTCATACATGACAAAACCAAATCAGCTAATTTTCATCCCGGAAAATTAAAGAGTTTCCGTAAGATAGTCAAAAAACTACAGTAACTTATACAGCTTAGTACACAAAAACCACTGATTGGATTTTGATGAAACTTTACAATAATATAGTTCATACATCAGAATAACAAATAGGTAACTGTGTATCCTGGAAAAATGTACTTTTCCCGCGGGATAGATGTTTTTGTTTATTTGTAACGTATTATGTACACAACATAGACCCCAAAACAATAGTTATTAAAAAAATTGCCTATTTGTCTGTTTGCCTGTATGTCTGTTTGTCTGTTTTTGTGTGTGCGTTTCACGCGAAAAGTAATGTACCAATTTCAACGAAATTTGGTGAAGTGATAACTTATTACTCGAGTCAACATTTAGGATACCTTTTGTATGTATGTATGTTGTATTCAGCCCTTTTTAACACATGCACGGGCCTCCCTTCAGTACGAGGTGGATCAGGCCATAGTCCACCAAGCTGGCCAAGTGCGGGTTGGTGGACTTCACATGTCTTTCGAAAACTTGCTAGGTTATGTCAGACATGCAGGTTTTCCTTTACCGTTAAGACAAGTGGTAACTGTGTTAGAAATGATTCGGATTTAGAGAGGTACGAGACCCGGGATTTGAACTTGCTTCACTCGGTTTCCCAAGCGAGCGTGTTACCACTGGGATACCACTGCCTAGATACCTTTTACTTAAAGAAAATCTTTCTTTCCCACGGGAAAATACAATAACTGGTTATATCGAGTCCTCCCTAGAAACCTTCCTCTGACTAAGCCTTAAGGCATACATCAAAACAATATACTAAAAAATTGTAGGTCTTGAAAAGTCCTACAGAAAAGTTGTGAATAGTATATGTCTATCTTCTAAGTTACACTCGCAATATTTATTCTTATCTATACCTATAATAAAACTAAGTCAAATCGATGTGCGCGTTTCACGCAAAAAGTACTCAACCGATTTTAACTTAATTTTGTATAGTGATAAAACTTAGTGCTCGGGTCAACATTTAGAATACTTTTTACGACAGGCAAATTATTCATTCCCACGGGAAAATACAATAACTGGTTCTATCGAATTGTCTTTAGAAATTTATATGGCTAACGTTGGCTCAACCTTAAGAGATAGATCAAAACATTGTACAAGAAAATTGTAAGTCTTAAAAAGGTCTATAGAAAAGTTCTACATAGTATAATATGTCTATCTCCTAAGGTACACTCGCTATTTTTCATTATTATATATTTCTGTTTTATTATACGTTATTTATTCTGTCTGAATA